ACTTAAGATTGAAAAGAAATAATTCTTGAGGGCTTAATTGATCCCTCTCACAATCTTCTATTTATAAGAATAAATTGATACACAAATACATGATAAATAGGGTAACCCTAGACACAATATAATCATGATAAATAGGGTAATCCTAGACACAATATAATCATGATAAATAGGGTAACCCTTGACACACTATAATGATGATAAAATAGGATAAATATCATAAGGATGAGGTTAGGGTGAAGTAGCAGCTGCAATTTGGGAAGACTTCTGAACCCAGTTTTATAGTGGACTATTTTCCTGCTTTTGTTATTATTCTAAGAATTTAATCTCTATTTGTCAATATTTGAATCTAGAAAATATGAACTCTTGACAATTTAAAGTAACAATATGAAATAAATGGTGGCAAGATCATGTGGACCCATAAAACCTTTCATTTTTTAGAAGTCTTTAGCTTAAATGTGTTACCATTTACAAGATGATCATGATATCTGGTAAAACTCTCTATTCAGACCATTGGTGTTTTTCTCTGGTCAACCTAAGTCTTGATACTCATACCTTGATATTTTTTATTGGTAAGACAAAAAAACTTCAGTAGGCAGTTTATGGAAACAAGCCCTGTATATAAAGGAAAAAGTTTGATGATCATAGGTTTGACATCATTGTCTAATTATAATAGTAATATAGCTTGAATTTGAACTTGGTAAATCTACAAAAATCGACAAAAATCTTCCTAATTCACGTTGCAATGTCTAGAAAAGTTGAACACATTTATTTTATATGGTCCTTGGAGTTGTTTGGCAATATGATATTCTCTTTGAAATGTTTGGTCTATGAAATACCAGAATTAACTAAAACTAGAAGAGGCATCATATGTAAGTTGGACACTTGTAAATATATTGTAAATCAAATGATTTATTATTTTTTTATTTCTCCTCAGGTAAAGAGAAATATAGAGGAGAAAACTCACCAACACATAGATGCTCGATCAAAGCCCAGGTACTGTAGTTAATTCCTTTTGTATTTTCATATCATCACGTGATATGCATTTGACATACATGTCTATATATTTATGCATGTATGTATGTATATGATATGTAAATGGTCAAAAATAATAAATGATCCAAAATCAAAGGCATACCCATAATCAATGATCGCAAGTAATATTCTAAATTCATAATCACTCTTCATCTAGGGCATAGTTTTTAATAACCAACGAAAGTAAAAAACACTAGAGGTGAAAAGTAGTAGTCCACCGAATTTTAAGTAAGTTGATGTACTGCACTGAAAAGTATTACTGTACCAAAGAAAAGGAGATAGATAGGGGGCTGTGGTTTGTGAAATGCATAGGAACAGACGACTGTGAACTTTGAAGAGTTTACACTCTACAGAACACTGAAGGATGGGGCAGAGAGATAAGTTGCACACTGTGCAGTTTGTGAACAATACCGGATGTTCATGGTTTAGCAGATCAGCAGAGGATGCCATTCTTTGGCAAAAATGTTGCCGGGTCTTGGTGCTCAGTTCGAAACAGGTCAAGTGTAAGTGTTTTTTGTGTGGATCATTGATGAAGGATTTCAAACTCTATTGTTTCTAATGGAAAAACACACAAGAATATAAAATGGTGGGTTGAGAAACTCAGAAAAGGAGGGCAAAAAAGTTTTTTTAATATACCTGTTCACCATAGGGCTATAACTACTGAACTCCACTACACTAAGATTGTGGCATGACATCTGCTGTTTTATAACGTTTAAAGGTGCATAATAACTAGTAGCATGCTATTATGCCCTATCTTGTACAAAATGAAAACGGATATTTTCATAATAGTAGATGTTTATCCCTCCTAGTTGGAGATATCTTAACGACTTTGGTTGTCATTGCTGTATGTCAGCAGATTTCTTTTCAATGTTACTCTATTTATTTATTATTATTTTTTATTTTAATGTAAGAAATGTTTCTTACTCGAGATTTTGTTTTTTATATGCATTTCTTGGATTTAAGTGGATTATGTACTTTGGCAGGTTTGATGGAGCTGTTCCAGAGCCCCGAAAGGGAATCAGAAGTGGTCATGTACCTGGCAGCAAATGCATTCCTTTTGGCCAGGTGCAGCATATGGTCACCTCAAGCATTTTAGATTTAACATTTATAGCATTGTTTTTCTGGTTAGGCTTCCGTATATGGGTATCTTTGTATAATCAGCTTAATTAAGCACATATTCAAGGAGAGCCTTATCACATGAGAACATTTATGTTAAGTGGAGTTGTTGCAATTGAGAGAGCTATAGAAATAAACTGAAAAAGGAAAAGCTTATGGGAGGTTCTCTTAGTGAAGAATTGGGGGTAGGGGTCTAGGTCTCTATATCACTCTATCCTAAACTATTACTCTATTATTCACCAGTATGATCTTTAGCCGTATAGTTTTGTAGACAGTTGGTTCTATCAGTCAAGATTACACATTTGTGTACTTGTTAGACTTCTTTATCAATGTTGTTTATCTTAATTTACAGCTGTTAGATAGTTCATATACCTTGTTACCGGCAAATGAGCTGAAGAAGCGATTTGAACAAGAAGGTGTGAATATCTTCTGATAGATAATTGTCATACCAAATCTCTTACATTTCATGATGTTGTTACCTCTAACTGCATTAAATTGATATGCAGGAATCTCTCTCGATAGCCCTGCTGTTACTTCATGTGGAACAGGCGTAACTGCCTGCATTCTTGCATTGGTACATCTCCCCTTCTTTTTTTGAGTCTATATATGTGGCTTTGGGAAAGGGAATAGATAAAATTGCTTCCTTTGTGGATGGAATAGTACCTATTGCTCTATGGTTATAAAAAAGGAAATTTTGCTTAGACAGGATTTTCATTAGTCAGTCCCTTCCTTGGCTTCCACTAAACTTGAAGTCTGGAATGGAAAAAATAATAGGCTGACATGATTATAGATTTTTAATAGTTCAACTTCCAACATATGCATGCATGTTTTTCTAGTGGTAGTAATTGCCAAGACTTGGGTGTTTTATTCAAATTTTGTCTGTTTTAATTTAAAGACTTAATAAAAAGGGAAAATCTCTTTTCCTTACTTCAGCTTATAAACTCTTTTTTCAGGGTCTGCATCGTCTTGAAAAGTTTGATGTTGCAGTTTATGATGGATCTTGGACTGAATGGGGAGCTCAAGCTGATACACCTGTCGACATTTCATAAATTCAATACTGATAGATTTTCATGCCACCTAAAAGCATCTGCAAGTGAAGGGGAAAATGCAATCGTCAAACATCTTTGGATGTCAAAATTTCTCTGCTACACTGTTTGTTGTGGTTGAATTGTCAATGGTTTCCATGTTTAATGTTAAATCCTATCACGTGGCTTTTGTGAAAATAATGATAGGATTTTTCAAGAAAGCCTCAGAAGTTGGAGTTTGTTGGGTATGCTAAAAATTACAAATAAAATATTCGGATAACATCACTTCAATAAATTTTTCTTTAGAACATGCGAATGAAAACTTAAATTTATGTGTCATTTCGATCTAGCAAAATTTTGAATGAGAAAATAGTCACTCAATGAAAAGTTATTGCTATAATTTAATAGTCTACAAAGAATATTGTCCTTCAAAGTGTGCATAATCAAAGAGATATGTTGCATGGATTGGCACAATGACACTCAAACAAATCTATTGCACTGACACATTGTTAATAATTTAAAAAGAAAACATATAAGCAAATATAATTTTGTATTAACACGACAATATTCAATAAATGATTTCCATCTTGGAGGAGTGCGAGTCCCCCACAATTGCTCACATCAGCCAATCAAAGGGAGGTTGTTCTTACCACGTTCAATCATCCTTAACATAGAATCACTTGTATTTGTGGTTTTTTTTTCTACTAGTATTTTTTCCATGGATACCTGGCGGCGTAATGGAGGCAAATATTTTTAGGCAGGACGGGAAGCAGGTAGACTCGTAGACTATAACACTCTTTTCTAATAAGGGTGACTCGGCGAATCACTTGGCAATCTTGCAAGGTTCAAACACACCTTCGTGATAGTGATGGTGCTAAACTAATTCCGTATTGAAAAAAGCATTGTGTTTTCTATACGTCTTATAGAGAAAGCCTAACATTTTTCGTTATCGACCAAACTAACAACTTAATATTTGAAAGTAAATTGTTCTTATAGGATCGGAAGTATCCTACAAAGAGAACTTTTTCATAACATTCTTCAACCTTTCAATCGAAATGTTCCAAGATCTAAGTATCACTCTAAACTGAGAAATGATGTGTCTGCAAAAGACACATTGAAACTTAAGTCAGATATATGCGTCAACAAGTAATAAATGTTGTAATAATGAACGTAATTAATTTATGTCATGAAGAGTGTTATTTATGTAGTAATTATAAATGTAATTAATTTATGTAGTAATTATAAATGTAATTAATTTATGTCATGAAGAATGTTATTTATGTAAGACTCCGAGAAAAATAAGATATCTAAAAAGATGATTTAAACATCAATTATGTTTATTAAAATAAGAAATAATATGTTAAATAGGAGTGAAGTGTAACACAGTTTGTTAGCTAGAGCTTATTGTTGTGGGTTGGTGATCATGTGTTTGATTCTTGCTCTATGTATAATGTATGTTAATTAATTTTATTATTTGTTTTATGTGCAAGTGTGGTGTGTATTAATATTTATAATAATTGTTGTGCATGTTTGATAAAATTTAATTAAAGTTGGGAGAGTGAAATTAGAGTGTTAATTAAAGTAGTTTAGAAAAAAAATTATTAAAATACAATAGTATTATTTTGTTTGAAACAATTTAGAGAAGAAAAAATGGTAACTTATTTCTTTTGATAATCGTTATATGTATTGTATAGTATGTACCGGTCGACGCATGAGAAGTTCATGGTTCGTTATGAATAACCGACCGACTCATGATGGAAGCAACAATCGATCGGTTATGCGGCAACACAATTAGCAGGTAAGGTAGAAATCATTAATCGCTAATTAATAAGTTTAATGGTCATATCAAATACGAATATATGATATCAATGAGTAAATAACATGTTATATCACCTAAAAATGTACTGCGTTAATGGTTAATCAATGTGTTGGCTGTCACAAGTATAAATATACCATTGATGTCCAGGTCAATCTATTCTAATAAAATAGAAACTTCTTTATGAAACATATCTTGCAGGTCAACAACCTATCAGAGTAGATTGCGTTCTCGAAGAGGATTGAATGATCGAAAGAGAGAGTAAGAAATGATGACCGACCCTTGAACAAATTCAACCGAAACAATAC